ATATACATGTAATATATATGATAAATTCTGCACCAACTGCTTTCCAAGGTAAATACCACCATCAGCCCCCAAACTGCAATGAGGAAACAGCCACTAACAACTCCATGGGGCATCCGTGCACTCGGACACACACGGGCTGCCATGAGTGAGAAGCCAGCGGAAGGCAATGGGAGTTTTGGGTTGTGTGTTCCTGGCAGAGTCCCTGAATGTTGAAAACTGTTAACAAGTTCAGCTGCTAGTTCGAACCCACCCAGAGATACCTTGGAGGAAAGGTCTGGTCGTCTGTAAAACCAGCCACTGCAGCCCCATATGGCTCAGGCACACTTGGGGTCACCGTGGTTGGAATTAAGTCAATGACATCTAGCTTGGTTTGATTTCGAGGAACCAAGGTCCTAAATGACCATAAAACTAACCCAAGGGCCATGTTCTGTTGGGCCACCCACATGTGGTCCTCTCACATTCAGCTCCCAAACTAAGCTTGCCCTCCTTCCCCAGGCCCCACTAATTGTTTATTGTCAGGGAGTATCATTGCTGTTGGCTGTTTCCTCCAGGAAGGGACGTGTGGACCAAGAGCAGTCAATATTGACTCTCCACCAAAAGATAGATTAAACCCACCCTCTGGGAGAGGCCCCCAGGAATTCTGGACCAAGCGAAATGAAACAGGCATATTAAGAAATAAATATAAAACAAGAAGGCAAATCTATTACAAGTCTGAAATAGAAGCCACATGGCCCAGATTCCTATCCCAGCTGCCCACTTACCTGCTGTGTGAATTTGGGCAAAGCAGTTAACCTCTCTGGGCCTGCATCCTCATTGCAATTTGAGAGATAATGGTGTTATTTACCTTGGAAAGCAGAATTTATCATACATATTATATGTATATAATCATACATGTTTTATGTATATATAATATGTGTGTATATATGTATATTATGCACCTAAAAACCAAAAACTAAGCCCATCGCTAACAAATTCATGACATTCCCGTCACAGGTTTCCGAGGCTGTGAATCTTACAGGAGGAAACTGCTCATCTTTCTCCCATGGAGCCGCTCATGAACTTGAACTACTGACCTTCACAGTAGCAGCCCAGCAGATTATGTGCTACTTACTCATCAGGGCTCCTTTCTCACTCTCTGTGAACCTCACTCTCACTCACTGCCTTCAAGTTGATTCAGACTCATGTTGTTGGGTGCCGTCGGGTTGAGTATGACCCATAGCGACCCTATGAACAACAGATCTGAACTCTGTCCTACCCTGTGCCATCCTCGCATTTCCTCACACGTTAGAGCCCATTGCAGCAGTCACCGTGTCAGTCTACCTGGTTGAGGGTCTCCCTCTCCTTTGCTAGCCCTCCCCCCTTCCAAGCATAATATCCCTCTCCAAAGAATAGCTCCTCCTAGCAACATGCCTGAAGTGTCTTTACATCTTTGCCTCTAAGGAACATCTGGCTGCACTTTCTCCAAGACATATTTGTTTGTTCTTTTGTCAGTGCATGGGATGTTCAGTACTCTTGGGAGAAGAATACTAACTTCCGACTCATGTTGTTGTTATGTGCCGTCGAGTCGTCTGCGACTCATAGCGACCCTATGCACAACAGCCCTAAACTCTGCCCTATCCTTTGCCAATCTCACCATCTCTGACACACCTCACCCCACTGCCCCAGTCACTGACTCAATTCATCTCATGGAGGGTCTTCCTCTTCCGCACTGTCCCTCCCCTCCCAAGCATGACATCCCTCTCCCAGGACTGGTCCCTTCTTGCAACATGTCCAAAGTATGTCAGACGAAGCTTCAGAATCTTTTCCTCCAAGGAGCAGCCCAGCTTCACCATCTCCAGGACAAACCTGTTCATTTTCTTAGCAGTTCATGGTATATTCAATACTCTTCTCCAACACCACAGCTCAAAGGCACCAATTCTCCTTCTGTCATCCCTAGTCATTGTCCAGCTCTCTGATGCCTATCAAGTGATTGCAAAGACCATGACATATATTAGGCGCACCTTTGTCTCCAAACTGACATCGTTGCACTTCAGTACTTTAGGGAGGTCTCTAACAGCAGACTTTCCCATTGCAATACCTCTTTTAATTTCCTAGCTGTTGGTGCCAAGAGTATTGAGTGTGGAGCCAAGCAAACTAAAACTGTGAACAATCTCAATCTCTTCACCATCCATTGTGAGGCTGCCAATTGGCTCAGTGGTGAGAATCTTTGTTTTCTTGATATTGAGCCTCAAACTGTACTGAAGACTGCAGTCCCTGACCTTCCATAGCAAGCACTTCAGGTCCTACTCAGTTTCAGCAAGCAGGGTTGTGTCATCTGCATAACGCAGACTGTAGATGATTCTTCCTCCAATCCTGATGCCACATTTCTCCTCAAAGAGCCCAGCCTCCCGGGTAATATGTTCTGCATAAAGAGTAAAAAGGTATGGAGACAGGATGCAGCCTTGGTATACACCCTTCCTAATTTTGAAACATGCAGCGTTTTGCTGCTCTATTCTGATGACAGCCTCCTGGTCCAAGTATAGGTTTTGCATTAGCACAATCAAGTGTTCTGGGATTCCCATTCTTCTCAGAGTTAGTCACAGTTTGTTAGGATCCACACAGTCAAATGCCTCTGTGTAATCAATGAAGCGAAGATAGACCTTCTTTTTGGTACTCCTTGCTTTCAGCCAAGATCCATCTTATCTTACATCAGCTACAATATCCCTAGTATCACGACCCCTTCTAACCCAGCCAGCACTTCTGGTAGTTCTCTGTTGTTTTTGGATAATCTTCAGTAGAATCTTGCTTGCATGTGATATTAATGATACTGTTCAGTAATTTCCACACTTTGGCGGGGGCACCTTTTTTTGGAATGGGAACAAATATCGATCTCTTCCAGTCTTAGGTTTCTGAGGCTGTAAACCTTTATGGGAGGAGACTGCCTGGCTTTCTCCCTTGGAGCTGGCTGCAAATCACCAGAGACTTGCAGCCTCTGAGTTAGCAGAGCAGCTCGCTATGAATCATGCCATCAAAGCGCCCATGTATGAAGCTAGTATGAGATGTTGTTTATAAAGCAGAACTTGTTGCCACTGACTTGAATCTAGCTGATGACGATCTCTTGTGTTGCACAGTGTAACTGCCTCGTAAAGTCTTCTTGGCTGTAATCTTTATGGAAGCAGATCCATAGGCTGTTCTTTCATGGTACTGCAGGGGATTTGCCTACAGGTTAGTAGTTGAACCCAAATCCTTTTACCCCACCTGGAAGAACTCCTATTCATCCTTCAAAACCCAACCAAAAAAAAAAAAAAAAGAAAAAAGGCCCTTCCTCCAGACAACCTAAAGAGCTCGGGTGCCATAGTGATTAAAGTGTCCCAGCTGCTGATCAAAAGCTTATTGGTTCAATTAATCCAGCCAAGCTGAGGGGGATAAAAGGTGTGGCAACCCACTTCTGTAAAGATCTACAACACTGGAAATCCAGTGAGGCAGTTCTGTTCTGTTCTGTCCTGTAGGTTTGCTGAGTCTGAATTCACCCTACAGCAGTGAGTTTGGCTCTTTGACCAGGCAGCAT